TCTGACCTAAGGGGCCCATCTTCTGGCCTCATATCTTTTAGCCTTTTGTTTCGGTTCATGGGGTTTTCTTGGCAAAGATACTGGAGTGGCTTACCAATTCCTACTCCAGGTGGATTGCGTTTAGTCGGAACTCTCCACTATGACCTCTCCGTCTTGGGTGTCCCTGCACGGCATAGCCCACAACTTCTCTGGGTTACTCAAGCCCCTTCGCCACAACAAGGCAGCAATCCATGAAGAGGTTACAGAGGTAGACTCTATAAATACATATGTCTTGAATCTCAAAACACATGCCAGATGTGGATGGTGGAAGAAACTAAAAGGAATACCACAACATAGCTTCCCAAATCATATATGATACAGTCCTACATACTAGACCTCTATATGAATCAAGAGCAACTAAGTTTTTTCACAGGTTAATAAATCCAGAATGTGTAGTCAGACTTGGAAAGAAGGATCTGTTTATGCTCCATCTCCATGGCCTATTTTCCAGACTGTGAAGAGTCCTTTCACTCTTGTAGTACATGATTTCATGATATTCCACATGAAAAAGCAGCTAGAGATGTGCCATCATTTTTTATCATTCCAACTCCCAGAATTATCTAGGAATTCTGCAGTTGGAATTTTGGGAGTTCTAGACCGAAGACTCACACCTGCAAACACCTATCTCCAAGGGCTGCATGGCTTAGCTCCAACCTTGCCTTTTTTGAAGTAATGTACAAAAAAGAAAGCTGCCATAGTGCTTCCTGGGAATGGTAGTCTCTATATAGCTGCCTTCTGAAGAACTGTCACTCCCAGGAAGCACAGAAAGAACACAAAAATGAACAGAAGAGTATCTTTTATGCTTTTCTCCTTTCATTTAAACACAAACCTATCCCTAGTGGGTACAATGCTCACTATTCAAAACTTATCCTCAGAAGACAAGACATCACTGGAGAATTCAAATATTTTAAGGTTGCTGGGGTTGGATACAAATATTCAAAACTACACCCAAAATAGCGGGGCTAGGGGACTGGAGTAGTGGGAGTTTTGAACAGAATCACTTCATAACAATTCATTTCATTGCAGGAGCTCATTTCATATTGGTTGAATTCCCTTCACAGAATCTCTGTTATACTGTGGAACAGTTACACCAGGAACAGAGAGAGTGGTGGAATAATTCAGAGGTATTTTGTGTTGAAAAGAAAGGTACTGACTCTTCATTGATGTAGATGTAACCTAAAAGATCCACAATTCTTCATATTTTTAAAATAACAGCTAAACAACTTTCCCATGCAGTTTTCAAAAGATAAGTGTCCTCAGAATCAAAGAACACTTATTTGCCACTGGCTACCATGGGCACCCTAGAAAACATTTATCCACAGAACATGATGAGAAAATCCTTGACTATTGACATGAGGCAGGGAACCACAGGTAGCCAGATAAATATGCACGGTATGTTCTGTGAAGCTGTCTTTCAGACATTATGATGTTCACTGAAATATGTACAGGTGCTCCAGTCTGTCTAACATCCCTGTAAAGTATGTTCTTTATAAAACTGTAACTGATGCCACTTAGGTTCTTGCAGACATATACCCAAACATTAATTGTAAAGCAATGCAGTTAAAGATTATTTAACTATCAGAGTGGATTTTTCCCTCCAAGTGATCAAAGACATAAACATTTCACCTCAACCCATCCTCCAAATGTTTGAAATTTCAAATATTGCTTTAGAACTCTCTGATGAAGCATGTACTTCAAACACAGAGGCTCCCAGTCATATATCTAAGGTAATTCTTAAGAATTTCTGATAGCATCCAAAGATTTTCTACATAAATAAGAAGTACGTATCAGGTTTCCATGTCTATTACACTTTGATATGACCTAGAGATGGATGGAGTCAAGCCAGAACTGAACTATGCAGATGAAGGAGCAGCAGCTGTTGTCCTATGTCCAGAAGTACAGTAATTAATGTATGTCAGCCAGGCACCCATGGCTTGACCTGGAATTCATGGAAAGGGATGTAAAGCTAGTGGTCAGAAATTGTAAACAGTGCCAAATAAGCAGAATGCACAGGAACCACTCATAAAGAAGCCAGATGAGCTACAACTTCTGATTTCATGGAGATATCTTTCTGCTATAACCAGAAACCAATTGTTGGGGCTAGAACTCTGAATTATGCATCTGTGTCCTGCTGGCTCATGTTGTGAGCTATCAGGTATATAATTCGAAATGTTCCTGTGTGCTGAAATATTCCTAGTCTCCACAGTGACTTTACCTCTGAGACTCACTATTGGCTTCGCTCACCTGAAAAGCCTACAAAAGCATTCCAGGACTTTACATGGGCAGTAACTGCATCTAACAGCCTGGTTCTAGTGGACTAGACAGCTCTTGAATGAAGGTTACATCATGACTGAAGAAGGAAAGGCAAGAAGCTATACTAGGAACTCACTTGCAGGAATGTCAGTTGAGGCACAATATCAAAATTACCTGGTCCTTTGATTTCATTCTTATAGAGGAGAAAGAAAAGTTGCACATGTGGAATCTACATTGTCAGGGATCAGTGCCATATATATATATTGGTGGACGTGAAGTTCTCTTTGTCTCTCTCATTCTCTCTCTTTATATATATATATATTTTGTTATAGTATATTTATTAGGCAGCAAGGTATATAATTATTGATTCTTACCACTATATCACACCTAAAGCTATTCTTTTATTTCTCAAGGTAGGGTAAACCAATGTGGGTTCCTTCCCTCCCCCTCACATTCCCACTGCTTGTGTATTTGTCACATGATTGATTGATTTAGTTTTCTGTACTCCAAAGCACAGGGTGGACATTATGATCCATATTCCATGCCATTAGACCCCATAGATCTGCTCTGATTACTATTCTGGATTCAACACTTAAGGTAGTTAAGAAAATCAAAATCGTTTACATTGTTTATTCATGTGTGCAGGAGAGCCATTGTATAAAATAAATTGCAGAAAGACATTTTGATTGTTACCTTTCCCAAGGCAGGAGTCATTATAGTTATACACAGGGTCAGAATTCATTTTAGAAGGGATAATACTGTAAGTGTATGTATATGTTAAATGAAAATGGTTGAAGAAAATAGTGTGGGCTATTTCTTTATTTAAAAAATTAATTATCAACTGCACCTTTGTCATTACCATGAAAATATTAGACCCCTGAGTTAGTGTATAAAGCATTAGTAAGGCTTGTAAGCTCCGCCACAGGAAAATTTAGGATGAAAAGGAAAATGAGATTAGAAGGATATGTACAATTATAAAAGGCAGAAAAAAGATCAGTAGGCTGAGAAGAAAGGGGATGTGATGAAATCTAAAGGAAAAATTTAGTTGTACAATCTATAATTTATGTATGAAATTAATTGACAAAAATGACTAGAAAATAGCTTAGTAAAAAAAAATGGAATGGCATTGATAAGGTACAAATGACACTCAGTTGATATGAGCAGGGTAACTAAGAGGGTAAAGTTTTAAGCAGGGTTCCCCAAACCTAATGCACTGTTTATGTTTTGAATTAGAACTCCTGGATTTCGCACCCCTTTGATATGCCAGATTGGACTGATATGAGTTGAACCTAAGATATCTGGAATCTAAAATACCACTTCAGGAGAGACAAGTTTAGAGAATCCCACTGCTGTTTTAAAGGTTAGTCACTTTTATAACTGGTGTGTGTTTTTCCACATTGGATTTGATTGATTGAGTGATTGATTGATTGATTGATTGATTGATTGATTTTTATACTGCCCATCTGGGAATTTGACAAACAGAAAATAAAAATAATAAAATTTAAATGAATAGTGCAGTCAAAGCATAAAAACACACTTGCAAAAAAAACATTTAGAACATTTAAAATGCCAGACTTGATCAAGAAGGCTAACTGGGCTAAGCTGGATTCACAGGTATAACATTTTGCCTGCCTAAATAATTGTTGTGAGCCTCCCAGAGACCTCTGGGTAGATTGGGCGGCATTGAAATTAAATAAATAAATAAATAAATAAATAAATACATAAATAAATAAATAAATAAATAAATAAATAAATAAATAAATAAATAAATAAATAAATAGCCAGTAAAGGGGCCAAGTGAGTAGTGGGGGGTCATTCCACAGCCAAGGAGCAAGCACTGAGAAGGCCCAGTTTCTCATCCTCTCCCTCTGGGTCTCTCTTGGGGTTAAGCATTCTCAGCTGGCCTGCTTGACATGCTCTTATAGGATGGGCAGATCCTGTTGGAAGCAGGTGTTCTGCCAGGTACTGAGGTCCCAAATTGTTTGGGGCTTTATAGGTTAGAACCATCACCTTGAAGCTGGCATGGAAATGGGCAGATAACCTCGCCTCTGGAACAACTTACCTCCTGAGATTCGCGTGGCCCCCTCGCTGGGTATCTTTAAGAATCAATTAAAAACATGGCTGTTTCGGCAGGCCTTCCCATCAGATAATCCCTGACGCCCCCCTGACGCCTTTTTCTCCCTCTCCTATTGTTCACTTTGTGTAATGTTTTTTATTTAATAATTGTTTTACATATCACTTTTATTGTATCACTAATGTTGTTAGCCGCCTAGAGTGGTCCTGACCCGACCAGATAGGCGGGATATAAATTAAATAAATACGTAAATAACCAGTGTAAAGTGGCCAGAACTAGGGCAATATTATCATATTTATTCACTCCACTCAACCTGGCCACCATGTTCTGGACCTGTTGAAGTTTTCATGACAGCCTCATGGGCAACCCCATGTAGAGTGTTGCAATAGTCTAATCTTGAGATTACCAGTGTGTGGACCAGCATGGTGAGGGGCCTAGTGTCAAGGTAGGGACGCAGCTGAGCTATCTGCCTGAGATGAAAATAGACATACTAGATCACAGACGTTATTTGAGTGTCCATAGACATCACTGGGTCCAGAAAGACACCCAAACAACAGATTTAATCCTTTGCAGAGAGAGTATCACCCCCAAAGGAAAGGGAGGCACACAATCCACAGACAGCCAGAGCACTCACCTGAAGGACCTCCACTTTGCCTGCTTCAGCCTCAATCTGTTTGCCTTCATCCACTCCAGTAACACAGCCAGACAGTGCTCAAGGGACAAGATGGCATCTACTGCAGAAGGATGGAAGGAGAGATAGAACTGTGTGTCATCAGCATATTGATAACACACCATTCCAAACCTCAAAATGACCTCCCCCAGCGGCCTCATATAGATATTAAACAGCAACAGGGAGGTGATCAACCCCTGAGGGACTCCACAATTAAAAGTCCAAGGGTGGAGACTATCTCCCCACAGAAAATTTTGTTTACTATTTATCTGTTGCATTATTTATTTATATATTCTTATTTAAAATATTTTTACGTGACTTTTTCCCTAAAAGGGACCAAGGCAGCTTACATAATTAAAAATAACAATATTAAATCTAAAAACAGTAAATATATGAATATTTTTAAAAGAATTAAGTATTATATTAAAAGTGGTTTTAAAGAATCAATATTAAAACATGTTTAAAACAACAGAGCACAACAATCCATTTAGAAATCCTTCTCAGACCATCAGTCATTAAGGAAAAGCCTGCCTGAAGAAAAAGGTCTTTGGCTGCTTGTGGAAGGACAGCAAAGATGCCTCTTTTTCTCCAATGTGCTCAGTGTGGCACAATAGCTTTCCTCCCCAAACTCTATCTTCATAACAATCCTGTGGGGTAAGTCACACTGAAAAAATTATACCTGACGTCTTTTATATAATTACACAAACAGTGTAACTTTTGAAACCAAATTGCTTTAATATGGGGGAAAATATGCTTGGATCTGCTGTGATCCAGTTTTTCAAATCAGGTTTCTGCATGTGAAATTGCTGTAGCCATCCAGGCAGCAACCATTCAAAGCAGTCAGTGGAGTAGTCAGGAGGGACAGAGGTATGGATATCCAACAGCATAAGCTGTCTTTGACCAGGTGTCTATTGGCAATTTCCATCTCTTTTTTAAAATTTAGTTGTCCTAGTGACTTAGCAAAACTCTATTTGAGTGCTGCCTTGAAAGCCTTTTGTAAAAAATTGTTCGCAGACAACAAGAACTTGATTGTCGCGAACTAACACTCTTTGAGGACTCCCTTGCCTTCAGATCAGATGATCACACTGGGCAGAAAGTGGACAAAAGTAATTTCAGCCTGATCAGAGCAAGTTTAAACCACCCTTTTGTTTGAATAAAAAAAAAGATGATTCATCACTAAAAAGAGATTATTCTGCAATGGCCTTCCATGCACTAAGGTTTGCATCATGTACTCACAGTCTTTTAATCCAAATTCATCTGTGCGTAATTCATTGCAGATTGTAAAGTAAAATGGCTGTTGAAGTCAGCCTCTGATTTGTGTAAATTGGCATACAATAAGTAAGGCCTATGTAGATTTCTTACAACTGATCTCTAAAATTTAGGTAATTTGAATAGCTGCACAACAGAATTTCAGCATATGACAGGCCCAAATTCACCCAAGGAGTTTCATGGCCAAGTGGAAATTTGAACCCAAGTGTCCAGAATTGTAGTCTAGTCTTCTAACCACTACATCACACTGTCTTTTATTTAAATGCACCTGTTTCTGATATGCGTTTATCTGACGTAAGATACCTGTAAAGATACTTGAAACTTAATGGATTTGACAATTATCTCTATCTTCAATTACAGTTTGTTCATCTTTTGTCCCCCTATAAGAAGCAGGACAAAAACCTGGAACAAGTCCATGTATGCACAGATTTCATCCTTTGTCCTGAGATCATCTCAATCTGGATTATGCACCTCTGCCTTTATTTGATGGCTAAGATCTGCTAAACAACTACCAAGCCTACTAGGGCCAAATCACCTGCTGAATATCATAATTACTGATTGTCACTGGACACTACCCATGAACTGGGTTGGTAAATTCTCCAGCCCATGATTGGAGTCTAGTCCTCTGCATTGGCTCCAACCAGCCGATGACCTTCAAGAAGGGTCAGTAATAGCAGGCTGATACAGACTTTCAAATCCACTAATTTCATCCTGTCTTCAAAGGCTCTGCCATGGACACTCCTTCTGCCGCTTCCTCTGCCACTACCTTCTTGGGTCAAGGTTTAGCCCAAGCTGCAGAAGGGTGTCTTGACCTCCATGAGATTGGCCTTGGAGGAGTGAACAGCAGCACTCCTCCCCCACATCATATTCCTCTTGTCAGGCAGAACCAGACCAAATCCCTCATCCAGGGATTCCACATCCTCAGTGGATGGTCCTCCCCAAGGCACAAAAGATGGGTACAGGTTCTTCCATTGCCTCCACACAGTATTCTCCCTCTGAGTCCATAAAGATGATAAACCTTCTCTTTCATCTTTCTTCTCCTCTTCCTTCAATTCTGGGTCCCAGCAATTCAGCCCATCCTCCACCACACCCTTCAGGTTTGGCTGATTAGCCCTTTGCCTCCATCCTCCCACCTGGAACCTCATTCCTGCTTTCTGCACCTTCAGACTATCCTGTTGCTGGGGCTCCATGAAGTTTGCCACAGGTCATAGGTCCAAGGCAGATGGCCCACTGAAGACAGATGGAGTAAATCTCTTCACAGCCCTATATATCAAATCACCTAAATCTGTACAATCTTCTCCCTATCAAAATAAATAGGATATGCAAAATTTTATAAGTCAGAAACGTCTTTTCACAGCTAACAGAAACAGAAAGGCAAGAGATCTAAAGCTACCTATAATTTCTGGAGCTTCTCATGAGGCAACACTTCATGTAATGGGTTTCAGAAGGTCAGTGACCTTCAGAAAAGTCAGGTTATAATGTGAACTGGACATCTAAAATGAATAAACCTAAAATGTCATGAGAATAATTTATGTCCTATCTAGTTTTGTTTTGTTTTGTTTGGGGGGGGGTTGCCATTAGATTGGGCTATACATCCTATATAATCCTACACAAATGAAACAAAGCACAGAAAGACACTTTGCGGACAGGATAACACACTGCAAAGCAGCAATATTGTTATACTATGCCTCGAAAGTGCCTAAAGCTATTAATGCAAATTCACCATATCATTTGCACTAGGGTAACTTTGCCCTGCCTGTGGTACTTGGAATGTATGTATTATTTATTGTACTTACAATACTGATTTTTGATCCAGAAGGAACCCCAAAGCAATTTCAATAAAATACTGAACATAAAATTAACCAGGGACTATTTTAACCCTCTCCAGCAGTTGGTATAGTTATATGACATTCTAGGGCTGTGAATGTCTCTTTCTGGCCTAGGGCTAAATTCCAGTTTCGGAAGGATCTTTGGGACCGCATTCCAGTAGTGAACAGTCACTACAATTGGTCAAGGGCAGAGTACATACAACCAAAACAAAATGGGTAGATCCAGATGTTTGTGCTATCAATCTGGACATTTTGCTATCCAAACAGAAGAGATAGAGAATTTCTATGATTCATTGGTTCCTAATTGCCGATGTAACCCATGCTGTTATCATAGGCTGTACTGAAAAGAAGTCCAGCATGCCATTTGTAACAACACAATGTGTTGACAACTACCCTTCAATTTTCTCCAGCTAGAGCAGGGGTGAGGAACATGCAGTCTTTCCTGTGCTACTCAACTACAATTCCCATAATCCATGATTATAGGTTGGTCATGCTAGGATGATAGGCTACAACAACATCTGGAGGGCCACAAGATCCCCACTCATCTCCTAAAGTGTTTTCAGTCTGTACTATTTCAGAGTGGGATACTCCATTCAGAAAATCCCAACAGTCCAGCCCTGTCCAGAAAAAGAGAAACTGCTCCAGTAAGGTTGGCAGGGTCTATAGAATTCATTGAGGAATGGCTAGATCAGTCAGAGAACAGGGATAAATTACCCAAATGGGATAAAAATGAAAATCCTGGGGGTAATGAGCAGAGTGCTACCCCCACCCCCAATCCCACCCCCTGCAGCCGAACCTCAAACTGGAAGCTACCTCTCCCTGCTACCTTCTTTGGTTGCAGCACTTGTACATCCGTTCTTTCAGAGATCGGAGATAAGGCTGCTTGACTGGTTACAGCTGTAATACAGCCCCAGTCAGTCAATTCGGCTTGTGAATGACTGCTTCCACCAGAGTTGACTGCAAGCAGGATGAGGGAAAGCTGCAATTAAGGAGGGAAGGAAGGTCCAAGAGAGTGACGGGTGGCTTCATCAGCTTGTTTAAATATATGTAGAAAATGGAGGGAGGGAGTGTGTGTATATGAGAGAGACTGGCTCAAAACTGAAAAAAGGAATAGGCAAACAGGACAGAAGGCTTGAATTGAGGGGGAGAGGGTGGCTTCATCAGGCTTGTTTAAATGTATGTAGAAAATGGAGGGAGGGAGGGTTGGTGGGTGGGTGAGTGTATGTGTGTATGAGAGAGAGAGAGAGAGATTCACTCAAAACTGAAAAAAGGAACAGAGGCAAGCAGAAGGCTTGAATTAAGGGGGGAAGGGTGGCTTCATCAAGCTTGTTTAAATGTAATGAGAGGAAATGTACATACTGAACTGAAGCAACTAACTGTTAAAAACGGAGGGAAGAAGAATTTGTGTGTGTGAGAGAGAGAGAGAAAGATAGAGAGAGACAGAGAGACTTGACTTTCATAAACCCATGAAAAAAGAAACCTTGCAAAATGTAATCTCCACTGCATTTAGCTCTGCAGATTCTGTAGCAATCACATTTCTCTTTTTCTCATCCCTGAAGCAGACAAGAGTATCATAGTTTATTCCCAAAATCTGAATCCCAGTCTTTCTGCTCCTGGTCCTACTTTGACTGCAGCACCAAACACAAGACTGTGGGTTTCTTTATTGAGTCAATCCATCTCAAGTGCAGTCTTCCTCTTTTCCTACTGCATTGTACTTTTTCCTGCATTGCTGCCTTTTCCAGTGAGCTCATCTTCTTATGATGCCTCTGTAGTCAAGTACCCTTCATTTGGTTATTTTAGCTTGTAGTGACAGTCCACACTTAATTTGCTTTACTTATCTTTCTGACAAGTCATGCTAGGTCCATCATCACTTTCCTCTCAAGAAGCAGGCATCTTTTAATTTTGTGGCTGCTGTCACCATCTGCAGTGATCATGGAGCCCAAGAAGGTAAAATCTGTCACTGCCT